TGTTGGTAAGAGCTATAATTCTTACTATTATAACTAGTGTCTATATTGGACATGACTTCTAGGTTAGTCCGCTATGGTTGATCGTTGATCATATCCATGGCCGCCACCGATTTCAACCATTAGCGAATGGTGACCTAATCTATGAGATCACCCGGCTATGAGATCATTCAATATTCGAATGGTCTATGCTAGAAGGAATTATCTATAAATACACCCTTGAAATCACCCTATAGCTAGTAAGAATTAACTAAGGAATCAAGATATTAAGCTAAGGCATCCTTAGCTATTTTCCTTCTACTATTCTATTCTATTCTACTACTATTCCTCCTATTCTTCCTATTCTTTCTTTATACTTAGGCAAGCCATCTATTCCCCTTTGCATTTGTGAAATTTCCTTTGTCATTTATATACTATCTATTATATACTATTTCACTATTTATATTCACACACGCTAACTCTATTCTGGCCTTAGGTTACTGGCGATGATGGTTAACTTCGTCATGGCAGTGCCGATTACCCCCATCAATCAATGGACTAAGTATAAGAATATCCGCAATCTAATTAGTTTACGATATTCTAATGATGCGTATTCTAAAGCCTGTAATTTACTAACCTATCTATAGTGGTATTACTTCTATAATACACTATCACCCAGAACCCAATCTCAGATTGTATTTAACTAGGGTTGAATCAGTTAATAAGGAAGATTAAATGCAGCCTCTATTAATACCCCTGTGACTGATCCAACTATTACTTTTGTATATATCCCATATTTTATTTTAGACCCTGGACCAGACTTACTAGGTGGGCACGCCACTATCAAGAGCCACTAGTAACCATATACCCCTAGTAATAAATACCACAGAAATTAGATACCAGTATCTTAGGCAGGGCAGTAACTTTCATGCTGAGAGCCAGGGTCTGGCTGTAAGTTATAAAGATTGTGGAGGCTAATATTACCAGCTAGTAGTAATCAAGAATTAGTTATATATGGTAGTAATGTTCTGTTAGAATATTCTATTATATTTAGCTTTTCTTCTTTACACACCAGCCAGCTATAAGTTTACACGTGCCGCTTCAACCTTACTTACACCCTAACCTTTCCAGACACTAGGTTTAAAGCTAGTATCATCTTAAAGCTTATTTTTATTACCTCTCCACTATATCCACCATAGGCATTCTAAAGAGACTATCTGGCCAATAATACAGTAGTCACTTTACTAGGGATCCTAGGTCTATTTCCTCTAATGGATAAAGAACATCTAAGAATAGAAAAAAATATTTATTAATAAAAAATAGAGTATCCGCTATCTGCTAGAAATAAAATATAATATTATTAAGTGAGCACATGCTCAAAACTCATGAGGGCATGGGACCCTATTATTAAGATTTCAGTGACTTTCTAAGAATCTCTCCAGCTAAAGATGGGCAAACAACTCTCATGGACTGATAATCTGAATGGAGGAACATAGGACTATTTCATAGCATAAAGAATAACTAATAGTCCCTACTCTTACACCAAGGCTAGAACTCTAGTTTAAATAACTCCACATTGTGCTACATATTTTTACTTACCAGCTATTATATAATCCTATAGTACTAGCATTAAGCAGAAACTGTCTTCTCTATTAGATTACCTGCCCTTTGGGAGGAAGTGGAAGAGGCAGAACCTATAATAAGAAGCTTTCCCCTCTACTTTTCTATCTTAGATAAAAGTATATAGGCCCAGTCCACCTCACTGCTAGTGATGGCAATTAACTCATGCTCACTAATCTTATAAGTTATTTGCCAGGAATCATCTCCAAGTGGATCATAGACAGTAATATTTAGTATCTATACATATAGTCAGTGTCCACTAGATGAACAGGCAGTCCCACCCTTAGAATACTAATGTAGCTGTTATCTTGTAAAATAAGTTGCTATAGCTATTTACAGGCACTTTCCTAGTCCCCAACTATTCCATCGCAAGTTTGATGGAGATTCTGAAATTAGATCATGGATTGGAAAACATAGCGGCACTGGGAAACAGCGTTTCAGAATCGAATACGATGTTGATGAGGTTGTTGCTGATGGCGCTGAAGGGGAGACGGATTGATCTGCAGCCTGAGGAAGTGGTTAGGCCGCTAATGTGGGGTAACTTTTTCGTTTGCTGCCTGTTGTTAAGTTCTTGTAGTTAATTCGGTCAAATTCTATATGCTGTCTTTTATCATCAACAAGCATATCAGTCTCGCTTAGTCATTGCACTGTAACAACCTGATAGTTATCTCGGCGGACAAGGTCTATGTGCCCGGAGGAACCAAGGACGGCACCGGAGACGCTCCAAACACTCTAGATGCTGTCTCGGAGCTCGCCAAGAAAGCAAAAGAGAAAGACAAAGCTTGCGGAAGGAGACAGGGTGCAACTCAAGGCGAGTGTGAAGGGCCTACCAAGTTTGCCTGCAAGAAGCCCACTTCCCCTGCTAAAAATGACAGGGATGATTGCATTCTGTTGGTGTTGAAGGCGTTTCAAGATTGGTCATATAGATATTCAGTGAAATACCTTTACAGATTCAGTTTCGGCTACACGGCTGAGAGTCTACAAGTATAGCAAATAGACAAGCTATATTTGGTATCCATTCCCTCAGGGCGTGATTCCAATCATTTCCAAGACATTCTCTTCCCTACCATCCATGAAGCAATCTCTTGATCCAGGGCCATTGCTCTCTCAGGAGCCTCTACCTTCTACTATCTTTAGTATCAGTACAGTAAGACACTGGACTGACAGCACCATCCTCAGCTTGCATGTGCACGCCAACCTGTATCCCATCTATGGGAACATAACCTTCAAGAAGCACCAGGACTCATTAGTAACAGATAAAGAGCCGTAATTCACCCTTAGATTATTCAAGTGCACCACTTCTATCGGAAGTGTCTGTGAGCCTTTCATTCTAAGCAAAAGCATGCAACGACAAGACCTTATATGTATGCCAGAGGACGCTCGCGACATCTAGAAAAGAGCAACACCAACGGACTGCAAGATAACCCTACCTATCTCTACTATAATTACATGACATTCTTCTCAGATTTCGCGTTCTAGGGATCTGCGGGGACAGCATAAATTAACAGCATATGCTCCAACGTGGAAAAGTTCTTGAATAATAATTGGCGCGGTAATACCGGCATCACACTGACCTGGGAGTTAGGTAACCAAAATAACTGGAGACACTGAGCTTACCTGATAGGCTTCTACACAATAGACAACATTAACTATTAGCAAGCGTCCCTGGGGACCACAAGTGGACCAGCATTAACTAACTGTGATGAGTTCCCCTTTGCATCCACCGAGGTGGGTGGATCCATGTTTCTCAGCCTGTATCCCAACATGCTAACAGGCACTGTGAGGCTCTGCGTTCTAACATGGCAGAATAAGGTCCAGGGATGGTGCTATAGTAAGCCGATCCCCTTTATTAAGTTAACTGGGAGGAGCTAACCAACGACTAGATTTATTAAATAACCTCAAAACTAACATCAAACATTTCAACACATACAGCAGCCCGATGCTGGATGATCCATACTGGGTACAATTGAATATGGACGGCTGGATGAGAAATCAGGGCTTGCTAGGAGACAACGTCTCTCATCATATGGGCAGACGTCCATTCCAAAGACATTTATCCCTGGCCTGTCTAAGGCGGATCAGGACAATCCAGATAACCTTAGTTACCACCACAAGCAGAACTTCACCCTGTTCCTTTCCTATCCACGCCCTGGCCACAACCCAGATGGCCAATGGCCCGATCAGGCCTTCAGTGGGCTGGTCACTGGGTCCCCCAGCACCAATGATCCTGTTACAACAACTGTCGGCTCTTCCACATGGGTGATTTGCGCTATCAATAGCATGGGCCAGCAACGCTATAGATTTAGAAGCCAACCCAACAGGATCTGTAGCAATGGCCAAAGTAAAAAGAAGACATGGGGTAGGCTCTACGTGATGTTAATCATCTATAAGTTGTGACAGCCCATCATTATCTCTTATAACCGTCCTTCGTCACCTCACTTACCTCTGAGCTTTCTGCCTCAGCTGACTGCTTGCCACTTCTGGAAGTTTGACCTGTTTGCACTATCACTCCGCGATATCTTTCTACTCTATATACTTTTTCTTCCTCTTCTCTAGACTTAGTATTTCTTCCGAATGCTACCATATCTGTTGATTTTGCCTAAGCAAACATAATATAAGTAAGTTTCAGTCTCCAGATACCTCTCGCGATGATTCTTGAATATCCTACTAAGCTGGATGAATAGCTACAAGATCAGCTTTAACAGGTCCCCCTAGTCCAACAAAGAGAGATAATACTCTGCTTGGATAACTCTCTGATGACCTATATTATTATAAGTGGCGCCTCACCAGCATACTGCTTGGGATCTTACTAACACAGAGAATAGCCATTAAGCGAATCCACGGAACTGAGCGCAAAGTCGTCCTACCCAAGGATTGAGACGGTCAGGGACTGCGGGAGTTGAGTCCAGGGTAAGTCATAGGTGGTCAAAGATAGAGACTTTACAGAGGAGGAATCTGGGTAGTGGCAATAGCACTATTCCTAGTCCCTTGGTTGAGTATGAAATTTGTGGAAGGAGTATACAGATGGATTTAACTATTAACAGACACGCATGCAATTTCTTATTTTATCTATATCCTGCACTCTTTGCTAGGAAGTAAGTAGGTCTCTTTTTGAAAAGGAACAGTTGATATCCTGTTATAGTATGTAAGGCCTGATATTTATACAATGGAAAAACCATGAAGAAGCTAGCATCGGCATATATTATGAATTTAAATGGAGATATCAAGGCCGGTAATAGCATGGATGTCATATATGATAGGAGAGAGTCTACTGTTCTTTATGACATCTGACTTATATGCAGGGGAAAAGAGGGAGGAATTAGATATCCTTGAAGTTAACTGAGTTATTAAATCTAAGGTAAAGTGTCATCTACCCTATTAAAAGGATCATGTTAGAATTTATCAGACATTCTAGATGCAAGATGGTTATCCTGTAAATTAACCTGGGTGTATCCATCTCAACCTTAGTGATTTTGGTCCTGATGAGATATGAGATGGATATGAGATGAAAGAGCTTATTGATAAGCTATGGAACTCTTGCCACCCTTCTTTAGGTACTCCAATATCTGACTCTCCGCAATTTCCTCAAGAGTAAATACGGGGCAACACTCTACAGGAAACTCAATCAAGGCATTGACGATTCTCTCAGCAGCTATGCTGAACTGACGCAGAACCTCACATTAGGAGCATTCAAGAATGGAAATGACTTGCCCAAATATTAACTCATATAAGGTTTAAAGCCTGAATTTCATTAGTGTAGCAATATTTTGGTCTCAAAGTACTTACTAATTATCTGAAATGCTCATGACTAGTTCTCCAGGTAGGTCATAGTTTATATCAATACAAGTATGCCTTTGTCTATTTCTTAGTTGTGGCTCCAAATTGCCCAAGGAGACCTCTGTGTAGCATGAATTTCACCACCTGGGCTGTGAGCCTAGGCGATACAGCTTCTTGCCCTATTTACATACTTTTAGGGTTAAAGTCCTACTATCACAATCCAGTCAAGATACCTCTTCCCGTAAAGAGATTATCTCTTTTAGTAAGACTGATGTTGAACCATCCTCACGACATAGCGATCAATATTTTGGCTGAAATGGTAAACTTCTGAGTTTAGACTTAGTCTTCTTCTCTACCACTTGAGAAACATTCCAGGGATATCAAGTACTGTCATTACAAACTATATGTTAACTAACGCCTCTAACTTTAGAACTTAAAAGCATGTCTAACTGCAGCAGAATGCAGGAGACAGGATTAGCATAGAATGAAATTAATGTATCTAGTCCATACATGAAGACTACGGTAAGGGTGCATATGCATGGATATTAGAAAATGGAAGCATAGTGTTGCAGAATGCTGGAAGCCTACAACAAAATATTGTGTACTATTTTTATGGCTCATCAGTATCAAGGTATTGTACTCACTGGATGAATATTCATAGGTGCGTTCCTGTAGTTCCCATTCACCAGATATATTCTTTACGCCTTGCTTCTATCTTTGCTGTATTCATTCTTGTGTATCTTCAGTTGCCTTTGATCCTGTTTGAATCATTATTACTATTGTGTCGGTCATATACGCCATCGGTATATTGATAAGCTACCTGGTCGGTAGACCTTAGGCAAGTATTGGATATAGTCTAGGGACTATATCATCCCCAAAGTAGTGACTAGCAGGAATAGCAGAGATGGATCCCAGGGTGTGACATAGGTGTGGTCTAGAGTTAAGGACTCTAGAATAGTCTGGTGGTCAGAGTAACTGCTAAGTATATAGTTAGGTGATAAGGATACTAGGCCTCCTGGAGCAATACCTCCTGGATTAGCTAAGGAGCACTAGCATTAACTAGATGCCCTAGTATTATATATACTAGTGGCAGCAGCAGTACTAGGATTTCCTTAGGAGCAGATCTGGGATTCTATATTAGGGTTAGTAAAAAGATATCCAGCACCATGATAGTATAAATAAATAAGTATAATATAGCTATCCCTGTCTTAGAGTTGCATTTGGTGCGGGTTCGGGCGGGTTCTAGCCTAGTTGGCCCTGAACCGCTGCAGTTTTGGGTTCAGATTTTAGAACTCGCAAACCCCCCCGGACCCGGTATGATTTGCTTACGGTTTCACCGCAAAAACCCGCCACTACGCCTAGCTAGGTATAGCTCGGCCCCTACTAACCTATCTAGGCCAGCGGTATGCCTAGGCAATAACTAAAATTTCAATGGTTTTCAGAATTTAATCACTCCTACCTTAGGCCTATTCTCTCAGCCTATCGAGCATGCTTATATAAAATTATAATTTTTATATGAAATATATAGTAATTATTATCATATTAAGCTATATTTCAAATATCAATTCAATATCTATAGGTCTGAATGGGTGGTGGTTGAAAATATATATAAACCCTGGTAGTGTTCAGACCTTGGTGCCCTTATACATATATATCCGCACCACTTTCATACCAACTCATGACAAAAGTGACTATTCCTTAATATCTTAGCAACCACTAGGTATTCTGAATCTATATTTATGTCACCAGATAGCCCTGGATCTAGGCTATCTAGAAATATAAAAGTTATTAGCTAAATCCTAGAAATTAGGTATTAGTAAGCAAGAAATAACCGAACCCGAAACGGTTCCGGGGTATAGAAACCGCACCCGAAGCGATTCCCTAGGTTTACCCCCGAACCCGCACCGCTGCGAGTTCGGTGAGGTTTGGGTTTGATTTTTGCGGGTCGGTCATGCCACTCTACCCTGTCTCTATAAGACACTAGAGAAGAGTAACCTAGAATCAAAGTACCTATTTCTGTAGGAAAGTCTTCTGTCTCCTAGGCTTCTTATTTTACTTGCTGTCAGCGAGCCTGTTTCTGCCTCTACCATTCTTAAGCATGCTCCTTTGATTCCTCTATACTATATCGTGGGTGGGATTTTTGGGGGAATCATAACTGAGAGGGGCTTTTACAAGCCATAGTTAATAGTGTTTTATCAAGGCCAGGCCTAACTAGAAGTAAAGAGATTTATTAATAAGAGGAGGAGAAAATAATCTATGGATATATATAATTATAAAATTTATTTACCTAATTGCCTTACAGAGTTTTCAAGATTTGCAGGGGGGTCACTTCTATTCTTGATTATTATTAGTGGCTGACTTGTTGGCAGCCCCACAACCATCTCTACTCAGCTCATCTTGCAGGGCTTATGAATGGGATGATTCAACTCGCGGCGGCACCGCGTAGCTTCGGGTCGATGCTCATATTCCTCTCTAAAGGGATAGGTTGTACACTATGGTACGAAGCTATCGAGGTCTTCCTCTGCCAAACAGCCTTGTTCGTCTCTGATTGTGCCGGCCTCTTTCACATCTGCAAAATGCCGGTATATCCGTGACTAGCCCACCCACACCGCTTCCCGCTGTGGGTGAGCCACATCATAATCACGAATATCACCGTAATCACAAATTTTCAATATTTTGACCTCTTGAAGCTATTCCAACCACACAATATGCCGAAATCTTCTAAATATAATGAATCTGACCTCCTTAAGGCCTGCGAAGCCGCTCAGGCCCAAGAAAAACCAAATATCACTAAGATTGCGCGTGAATATGGCGTTCCAAATGGAACACTACGTGACCGCGTCAAAAATGGCAGGCAGCCTCGTACAGCTCGGAAACCAGTTAATAAAGCACTTGAGGGGTATCAAGAGGAAGCCTTAATACAGTGGATAGTCTGGATGTGAGATCATTACATGCCAGTGACGCCTAAGCTGCTAGAAGAGTATGCAAATCAGGCACTTCAACACGCTGGCATACCTCAACAGGTTAGCAAGATATGGGCATATTGCTTTAAGAAACGACTCCCAGAACACCTTAGATTAGGGCTAGTGAAGCAAAAGACAAAGGAATTAAAGCATATCCAGGCTGAGGATGCAGGGTTATTAGCACACTGGTATAATCAGCTTATAAATATTGTTAAAGATACACCAGCGCAGTTAGTATACAACTTTGACGAATGCAGCTTCCAGCCTGGTGAAGGCAGATCTAGGAAGGTAATCAGTTCAAAGAGTGCCCCTGATCTTGCAGAATCTGAGAGAGGAGAGAATATCATAGCCATTAAATATATATCTATAGATGGTTAGCAGATGGATCCATGGTTTATCCTTAAAGGTAAGCTCCTACTCTTTTAAATCATTCTTTTCTAACCTTCCTTTCTTGCTTCCTACAGGCAACGGAATCTTTATGGAAAGTTGGTTTAACAAGAGCAAGACCCTACCACCGAATACAATGATAGCTACGCAGGCCAACGGCTAGATATCAGATGAACTAGCTCATCAATGGCTTCAAAGCTTTATCAAGGCAACAGATGAGCGTACAAAGAGGGGAGAGAAATAGATACTTATCTTTAATAGTCATAGCTCCCACTTTACCATTGATTTCTTACAGACATGCAAAGATAATAATGTTATTGCCTTTAGATTCCTTCCTCATATAACACATCTTTGCCAGCCGCTGGATGGCAAGCCATTCTTGAGCTATAAGCAACACTTCTAACATATAAATAATGAGCTATCTTACTGGGCTAGTGAGCTAGTAGGGAAGTCAGAATTCTTACAGGTAATTAGACCAGTACAGGAGAAAGCCTTCAATCAGCAGATTATCCGTGAGGCCTTCAAAGATCGTGGTATCTAGCCTGTCAATGGTAGTAAGATAGTCGATAATCTTGCTATCCAGGCATGGGAACAAATCCCAGATATCTACACACCTAATCTCTGCAAGTCTACTCCCTCTACGCCCTCTCTGCCACTATCTTCATCTAGTGTTGATATCTCACCTTCACAGACGATTCAGGCGCTTAGGAAGAACTAGGCGAAGGTATTATATTCTATAGTTCTTCTTATTCCAAAGCTAATCGGTGAAGCTATCCAAACACGCAGATATCCTTACACTGAAGATGTAACGGAACCTTGACCGGATATTTAAGCATAATTAAATTGCTGCTGAGCACCTATCTATAGCGAACGAAATAATTAGTCAAATTAGGGCCGCGCAAGCCCCCCTACGGCGCCAACACACTAAGCGACATGTTAAGCCACTTAGCCAGGATGGTATACTAAGGGTACGAGATGTAAATCGATCAATTGCTTCAAGGAAGGCCAAAGATGCTGCTGCGCAAGAGAGGTGTTTACAAAGGCAGTGGGAGAAAGTGCATGGCAAACCCCCGCCACCAGCACTTACACAAGAGAATCTGGTATCAAATGGATCAGCAGAGGCAGCAGATGAGAATAGTGATGTTTTTTTCTTAGATAGTCAGCCAATGCGTTGAGAATAGCTTCAAATATTGAAAATTCGTGATTACGGTGATATTCGTGATTACGATGTGGCTCACCCACAGCGGGAAGCGGTGTGGGTGGGCTAGTCACGGATACCCTCAACGCCGCATGCCCCGCTCCTTCCGCCCCATCTAAGGTTGCATTGCACAGCTCCCGGTATAGCAGAACGGCACTCGGCTGCCTACCCGCGAATGCGTTAGCCCTACTTGAATGGAATTCCTCCTTGATTCGGTTGAAGAGGGTATCAGCCAGACTTAACGGGCAAAGTAGCCCCCGTTGCTTCAATGAGTGCCCTAAAAGCCGGATGCTCCACCGCTGTGAAAGGCTGTCTTGTTTGAATAACCTATTGGACTAGCATTTCTTCAACGCCAGCCTTCTTTCCCGCCGACTCTAAGAACCGGTCGAGTCTTCGACTGCGGGCAAGAAGATGGAGTCGCCACTAGACTTGATACGATGCTTGGTCTGGAGATGCACGAACAAATTCGAAGTGGAACCATAGCGTGCCGAATCTCTGAAGGACCAGCTGCAATGCTTGCAAATCAGCAGTCGGTCCTTTTCCGGTGGGCCACGCTGCCGACACTAAGTGTTATCCAGATCTGTGATCCAAAAGTGCTCAATGGTCCAACTAGAATACGCCTTGATCTTTCGTCTTTTATACGGATGCTGACTACTCGCATGGCCCCTGCTCTCCGAAAATGCAGGATCAAGCGGGGATGGCGAGGAGCTAAGCAAAGAGTAAGACCGCGTCGCCTGAGGTGTGTCTTTTGTTTCCGTAAATGTGGACGGCCCAGGAGAGTAATATCGTCCTGTTTCCCAGGGAGATTCCTCGGATTGCCCCGAAGGTGAAGAAACCAGGCCACTGTGTAGAGCATTATAGCCCCGACGTGGAAGACCGCACGTTCTCCGCATGGACGGATTAGTGTAGATATCATGCTCCTGTTTCCTGGTATCAATGAGTATATCAAATTGGTATCGGCCGTGATGCATAACATACCATGAGCTATCTGTGCCGGGGCTGGAAGCTGATGGGGGATTTGAGGATAGGATGACTGTCGACAAGCCCAATAATGTTCGCGCTTTATATGCCCTCCTTGACGCGGAAAGTTGATAGGTCTCTTTCCTGTTTTCTGCAACGCGATATTGATATTTGGAAAGTAAACAAAATGCAGCCAGAGCCATCGGAAGCTCTGGGTCGTGAGGCAAACGTATTTTCACGTGCCCTTTCTCAGGAAGACTTTATGGACGGAGTTTGAAATGAATTGAATATAATCAGGCGACCGAGCAGATCTAGTCAATCAATTACCCAAGATGATCCCCAACTGGGTCGATAAATGTATATATAGTCACCATGAGATATTAGAGACCGTAGCACAACCAAGTCCATCGCTATCTACCTATTAACCCTGTGAGATCATGTCATTAGGCCTCCCCTCAGCCACATCTAAATCTGATCATAGAATCGTGAGCGTCTCTGTAATTGGCAGTTTCGGCGGGTTCTCGGGGCGAGGAGCCTGCTCATCGCCATAGTTCAAGTGGGCCTTTAGTTTGTAACCTTCAGGGACCCCGGCGAACTTCTTGATGGCAGCCTCGACGGGTGGAATGGCGTTCATGTGCTGCAGATTGGCTCCGACTCCTTCCAGTTCCAACGCAGTCCAGACAAGGATCTGATGGATGCCCTGAGTATGCTCTCCCCATTCGCCAAACATATGCCCGGTTGCTTTGTGCGTCTCGGCAGCCTCTTTTGTCGTCTCACCGTGCTCCCAGAAGAGTACCTGCACATGTTAGATGGTCTGAGTGACAAGTGACAAAGTGGTAACATACGGATCCATATGCAGCTTTATGGCCTTCAAAAAGGGGGCCCAACTTCTGCCAGAGACCTGGATTAATTGACTTGAGGATCGGCTCAGCCTCCCTGAGGATAATGCTCCAGAGCTCTTTGTGCTTCTCCCCAAAAGCAAGCGAGATGCGGACGGGCTGAGTATTGTAAGATGAGGGAGCAAAGGAAAGGACTTTGGCGACAATCTCATGAACTCGTTCATCTGAAACCTTGGAGGTTCCCCCCAAGGCACGGACACTGCGACGGTAGGCGGCGGCTTCGAGCCACTGGTCGGTGGTGATGGAGGGCATGTTGGGAGAATGAGAGTAGGTGAGTCTTGAGAAGCGTCTTGGGATACTTAGATATCTGGTTGTACGCCAGAAAGAGGTCGCAACGGTGTTTAATGAGCTGTACATCGTGATTTAAATTGTTCTTGCTCCGTTATGGGATGCAGTGGCCTTTATAAGCGTGAGGCAAGTGGGTGTGTTTGGCCCCAGCTTGTCTTTTCGCCTCCATAGAAAGTCCGGTTCAACATCGTTTTCCCGGGCTGAGTGGTGGTAAGATAGTACGAGAGAGACGTTACCCACTCAGATTAATGTTGTTCCGCGGTCCGACATGTATCCGCAGAGGACAGAGACACTTGGTCAATGGAAGGAAGTACTGCCGTGTTTGGGGATCACCCCATTACAATGTATATTGTGACAAAGCCCTCCGACATGCAGTATACGTCGTGGTATAGAATATATTGTGGTATCGTCCCATGAACCCCTCTAACGCCACCAATAACACTTTCAAATGTACTGCTCAAAGTTTGTAGCGAGAAGCCATTATCATCCATAGAAACCCTTCCCTGTCATCATTACGGACGGAGTCCCCGTATCTCTTGCTACTCGGTGAATCCGTTGGACCACTGTCTCGACGTCGCTGCTCTTGATAGGCATGCGATGATCGCCTGCCCACTCCAAAAGTGTGGCCTGTAGCGGGTCGCAGTACTCCCGAAGCAGGTCTCGGTGATGCTCCAGGCCAGGGTCGTTTACCCCATGAACATGCACTGTAGGCAGCCGCAACATGTGCTCCTCAGAGCCCAAAGTGAACCAGGGAGAAGAAGGGTGTGTGAACGGTGTAGCAGCGTCGACCAGACCGTGCGGCTGGGGGAGGTCAGGCATGAGCCACACCAAAGGCCCACGACCCGCAAAGAGAATCGCGAACCGGAAGTTGGTAATTGCACACCTTTGCTGCCGGTAAAGAATGCTAGCTGCCGCCTTTGCGCCCTGACTGAAGCCTAACAGACCAACCCAGTCGCCCGTAGCCCCCTTGGCGTCGTCAGCAGCCATGGCGAGTGCAAGACTAGCGTCAATCGCTGTAGCAACATCCCGGGATGTCAGGACTTTAGACATGTTGTGATCACAGAACCACACCCTGAAAGGCCCGTAGTTTCTGTAGACCGACGTTACATCTGGCCCGGGTTCTGTACTGGTGAATGGAGCCTGTGCATAGACGAGACGAAAAGAATGGCCAAGGCGCTTTTCGAGAACGCGGCACTGCATCCGGAAAATCACGGCGTTGGTCCCTCCGCCGTGGAGGCAGAGGATGCGTGGTAGGTGGATCGTTGCTGCGTTGTTCATGCTGTTGAAATGCAGTACTAGGAAATGGTTTGATGCTGATTTCAGGTCCAAGGGAGTCCTGTTTATACGTCTGATATCCTCTCTTCGGGGGGTGGTTACTCCATTAGGGCCAGCCGGAGTTATGATAGTCCGCCTTATCGACCAACGCTGGGCGAGTATCTCCTCGAGTCATGCTGCTTGTCATGACTCAGAGTATCCGGACGATTGGACGAGACAATGATATGTTAGGGCGGCCCTTTATGATGTTCAACACCATACGATGCAATCAGGATCTTTCCGGTTGGCTACCCAGAAATAAACATATCAGAGGTTAAACCAATCGTTATCTTCTGAGGGACGACTGATGTATTTATGTATGATCTTTTACATCCTTCTCTTGCATGTATAGAGTGGGCACATGCTTTGCAATCGTGCCATGTACTTTGAGGACTGAATATGACTCGATACTATTGACATTCTATAATAAACAGCGCTCTATGTAATATCACAAAGTACACTTCTAATGATGAAGGAACCCCATCGCCTTCCAAGACGAGACATACGACCGGACCACCTCAGCACTCACCGGCCCTTGCGCGGCCATGGTTTTCGAGTGATCCTTTGAATGCTGCGTGTCCAGCACGATCCCACCGCAAGCCATGCGTTCAAAATGGCTCTCAAGGAACCCCAGCCCCATGGACGCCGGGTTCTGCGCTGGTGGCAGATATGACTGACGAACTCGCTGGATCCACTCCTCGAAGGGAACGATGCCGTGGGATGGGATATCCAGCGATGCCGCTAGAACCATCACCATTTCCTTCCACGACTGACCAACAGGGTTATCGACGTGATAGACCGGATAGACCTCTCCTGAGTCTTCGCCGCTGCCGATATTGAGCAGATCCACCATGACGCTGGCGGATTTGTCCACGGGCAGCCAATGTAGCATGCCCTGCAGATCAGGAAACACCTTCAGTGCATGAGCACTCTTCACAACAAAAGCAAAGTGCTCGACAGGATTCCAGAAGCCAGTTGCAGTTGATCCAGAAATTTGGCCGGGCCGCACCACCATTGCCTGGAAAAGCTGCGGGTGACGGCGCAGCGTGTCGGTCAACATGCGCTCGCACACCCACTTGGCCTCGTTGTAGCCGCTGGGTATCGCCGCAGCCATTGCCATGGGCTGCTCGAGGACGGGCGACTCGTTCGAAAACCCAGTCACGCCGATCGAAGAGATAAACTGGAATCCGATCCTGCGCGGCTCATCTCCGAGGGCCATATCGCGCGCCAGATCCAACAGATTCCGCATTACCTGAAGCTGGGGCTCGAAAGCTTTGAGCGGCCGTGTAGCACTCATGGGCCATGCGTTGTGGATGATGTGCGTTCCGTGCAGGATCAGCCAGTTGTACTCCTGGTTTGAGAGACCGAGCTGGGCCTTTGACGTGTCAGTCCCATATACCTGCAGTTTTTGGCGGGCAGCCGGCGACAGTGTTATGCCTCTGGAAGATAGAGCTTCTTCTTGTCGGCTGTCGGGGGGCGTGTCCTTGACCGCGCGGTTGATGCAGACGACACTTGCGACATCGGGGCGCTCGGTGAGGGCTTGAACAATATGTGATCCCAGGCTGCCGGATGCACCTGTCACGATCACCACAGCTCCAGCACCAGACACAGTGGTGATGGCGTCTTCAAATACCGGCGACTCCCAGCCGACTGTGTAGGCTTCGACTAGACGCAGGGCCTCTGCCTCACGGGCTGCTACATCGCCACGATCAACATTTTGTATCGCTGGGGTGAGTAGATCACTCACCGGATCGTGACTCTTGCTGGTAATTCCCGAGGCGTCATCCGGAGTCGAGATATCAGAATAGGTGTCTTCATCTTCCGAGTCTGAGAGCACAGCATCGCTCTCGGTGCTGGTCGAGTCACTGTCTTGACCTCCAGATCTCGCCAACGCATTCGACACGCAGGCAGCAAAGTCGCGAATGCTGGTGGCGACCATTGTCTCGGTGCTGTCGAGGGTGCAATGGAAAGTGTTCTCCATCTCGCGCGCCACTTCCATGGCCATCAGGGAATCAATACCCAAGTCGGCCATCTCGCTGTCGAGGCTCAATTCGCTGGCCTCGATGCCGGAAACGTTGGCAACCACATTGCATACTTCCTTTGCGATATTGCGTGCCCCACTGACAGGTTTTGACTTCTTGACGTTTGCCTTGGTTGCTTTGGGAGGTACCGGCTTGGGGGCAGTAGCAGTGATGGGCCCGTCACGAGGCTGAGATCGGTCAGGCGACAGCAGAGACGCTGTTGCGGTGCTTCTCACAAACGACTTGTCCGTCGTCACTCGTGCCAGGATCTTGCTCATTGTGGCCTTGGGGACGCGGACATATTGCAGGCCCAGGATGACCTCCGCCAGAGCACCCGTCGAGGCATCAAAGACAAAGACATCGGTCACATAAGCCTTTTCGCCTTGACGTTCGTGGCGAGCGAGAACATGCCAGACATTTGGACCATTCTCCCGGCCATCCGTCACAGTCTGAGCTTTTGGCGAGCGCATCACCAGCTCGAGGCCGGTGGCAACGAACATGTCGCTGGCGGGGATGTCTGTCAGCAGGTTGACGTACATGCCTGCAATTTGGCCATAGCAGTCTGCCTTGGGGACGTCAAGCCAGGTATCACCGGAGTGTTGTTTATGCACGATACCTGCACTCTCCCCTTTCTCCTGGCCCACGATGTACTTCACACCGCGGTATATGGACCCGAAGTCGACGACTTCTTCAAAGGCTCGGTACACGTTGCGCCCTTGGAGGGCCTCCACACCCTCATCGTGTGGACTCAATGCCAGAACGGCCTGGCACTGGGCGTATGTGACAATGCGCTTCCAGCGTTCAAATTTCTGGAGAGCGGCCGGATCGGACGATGAGTACATGGCGATGCGGCCCTCGGCGTGCTTGTCGTTGGCGGAAGAAGCCCCCATGCTGTGAATAGTCCATTGCCACTCTGTTTCAGCTGGATTGAGTGGCTCCAGGTCGAGCAAGTACTCCCGCTTCGAGTCGGCGCACATGGGCGAATGACTGCGCATGTCGCGGATAATCGGCGAGAAACCACTACGTCTCCATTCCGGATTGAGACTGAAAAGGGTCTCGATGGCCATGTCAATCTCGAGCGTGGCTGGAGCAATGGGCGCCGTCTTCGCGATGAAGTGGGTTGCAAAGAGACGCTGATACTTGTCTGAGGATGTGTTGATGCGGAACCGAGCCAGCTTGGTCTGCTTCTTGTGCTCTAGGAAGCCCAGGAAGGTCCACATGTCAAGAGTCTTGGGATTGACGTGCTCCGGCTGAGCCTTGGCCCCATCCTGGACTTGAGCGATCTTCATGGCTTGCTCGATTGGCGACTTGAGCTCGAGCCAGTGCCGTGTCTTTTCGAACTGGTAAGGCGGCAGGAGGAGCTGCGCATACTCGTCCTTCTGGAGGCGGTGGTATGCCCAGAAAGACACCCGTAGGCCCTGTTTCCAGAGGCCGACCGTTGCATCAGTGAGCCTGTCGATGCCCTTGTTGGTGTTGGTGATGGAGATGGACTGGAAGTGGTGCGTCGACTGAGGTTTCGCAAGGGCCTGCGATGCCATGACGGTGATGGTCGAGTTAGAGCCAGCTTCAAGAAAGATGGCCTCAGGATGCTTCTCTGTGAGTCGCTGTACAGCGTTGTTGAAGAAGACC